TATTTTGCTAAACATATGTGCATTTTTTTTTAAATGAAGGTTTGGTTTTATTAGGTTAAATATGGTTATCTATTTAATTGTATGCTATTTATGGAGAACTTTCTTATATTTTGTAAAGTATATATATTTATGTAAATGGGGCCAAAAATGGTACCAGATGATCCTTCTACCCTCGGGCCAAAAATGGTACCTGATTATCCTTCTACCCTTGAGCCAAAAATGGTACCTGATTATCCTTCTACCCTTGAGCCAAAAATGGTACCTGATGATGCTTCTACCCTTGAGCCAAAAATGGTACCTGATGATGCTTCTACCCTCGGGCCAAAAATGGTACCTGATGATGCTTCTCACCTTGAGCCAAAAATGGTACCTGATGATGCTTCTACCCTTCCAATCAGAGTTGTTTTTCTTTCCGTAATTAACTTTTGCAACATTTACTTTACTTTTTTTTGCAGATACAGTGATTTTGAAAAAACAAAAACATATTGATAAATACTACAAAAAAATGTGTTTCACTGCTATATATTTATTCAAATTAATAACATTTATATTATTTAAGGACCCCTAGACACTGTGTGCTCATCAATGGTGCACAATTCACCTACTCAAGATTTTCAGACCCGAATGTATATAAATACATATACTTCTTATTTGTCATATTTTCTCATCACCATATGAGAGATATACATGTATCACATTACACACTGTCATGTACATAGACATATTCAGGACTGGTGCCATAAAGTCAAACACATATTGTACCGAGTATGTTGGTTTGTTCCAAGTAACAATTTTATAAACTATTCTTTTATATAAAATTACTGTTCTCCATGGATTACAAACATACTTCTAAGGGTATTAAAGCAGAAATTCTAGTTATTGTAATTAGCTTAAATATAAGGAAACTAACAAACAAGGACTGGTACAAAATCTTTATACAATGATGTATTCAGTCAAATATTTTTTTTTTACAACATAGGCACTTGTATGTATTTCATGGCTCCTAAATAAATAATTCAAGAAAAATGAAAACAATTTCAAAAACAGAAATAAATGAATTTTTTACATAATAAAATATTTATTATTCAAAACATGAGCCAACTAATTTTAGCACTTGTTGCTACCATCATCAGGACTGTCACTACAGTGGAAGATTAATCTGTCTATACTTCAGAGCTTCCAAGATAATGACAAACCTGATGATAGCAGGAGCTGTTGCCAAAACTACAGTAGTTGATTTGTGTTTTTATTAATAGAATAAATTAATGTTTTATTAATGTTTAAAAACATCATTTGTCTATTTTTGAAATAACTTCCCTTAAAAATAAAACTATTTCATGTGTGTAAAATACTGAAAGTAATTGACAAAAATTAAAAACACTGTCTCTAAGTTTGCATTATATTATTTGTATATACATAAATTACAGATACCATAGTAATTAACAGAAAATTTACTTTTCTGTAAAAGGTATGATTAGAAATACTTTCCTAAGCATTTTTTGCCTAGATATTTCATTACTATGGTTGTCAGGCAGAGGTGGACTAAGCTGGTGGGATGGTTGAAAATTTCCTACCAAGCAGGTTGCTGTTTTGGGCCAAGCTGTTGGACTATGAATTTTATGTAAATTACTGGATGTTATAATTTTAAAATACTTGAAGCAGTAAAATAATTTTTATTGTAATGTTTGTTGTAAAAACCACAAAACTAAATAAAACAGTTGATAACCCATACTTATAATTCTATTGATGCAGGTTTCAAACTTGGTAACATCTAAAAATTCCATCACTTACTGGATTTGAGAAGCAATGTGCACATGTTTTGATATTTTGTTAATGCAGTAAGTTGTCAGTTTGGTAGCAATACTGTATCTATCAACCTATGTGTATTACTTAGTTGCAGGATAAACAACTTGTAAAGTATCAAGTAAAATGACAAGCATATCCAATGATTTCTTTGAACAACAATAAAAAACATTTATAAGTATGTGATAGGTGTGGAAAAGGCACAAAATCGTATTTAATAGGAACTTCTGCTGACAGATGCAGACTGTAAGCAGGGTGACTGCCATTTTCTACATCAAGTGGCTATAACTGACAATGATGCAAGGGATCCTTTAGAAGGAAAAGTTTCTTGTATCACAACAGGTGTGCAAAGCAATGTAATGCCACATAATTGACAGTATGGTTGTATTAGTCCTTTCTCAGAACAAGAAGCAGAATCTGAAGACACTTTGGTTGTCCCTACTTCTAGTTTTGCTTCTGTTAGTGGCAGTTCTATTGCAGCTAAAACCAGTGGTGGTTTCAGCCAAGTAAAACCACTTGCAGATGTTATGCCTTCAGTAGCTAGAGGCTATTTTGAGATATTTTCTGATTCTACAGTAATAAAGGTTGTTTGCTGTTATCCCTGTGAGGGATAACCGTAGCCAGGGTTTACATGATCTCAAAGACCGTTTCGAACAGCTAAGTGTTAATGCAAATAATATCAGCAAAACTTTTTATGGGGTCTTTCAATAAGAGAAATAACGTTTCTGGAGTACGAAGACAAATCAACCAAGTCACAAAAGGTAATTTGTATATCTGGTGCTACAGCCATGTTTTAAATCTATGTGTATGCAATGGATGTGATAATCATTGAATCTAAAAGTTTGTTTGGTCTGATATTTTTTGCTCAATAATTCAAAAGAATGAATGTATAAAAAGAAGAGAATGAAAACTGTTGTTTCTATATGTATATAAAAAAAAAGTATAATCATCATAAAAATGGTGAAACCTGATGGTGGGCTCACAAAATAGTTCTCTTTTGAGTTTTTGTACAAAATGACTGTTTATTCCCCACTCTACTGACTGAGCTTCAGCATATTGGGGAATATCCAACAATTTTGACTCAAAAACTACTTTTGAAATGCCTGCTTTACTTATAAAACTTTGCAAGTTTATAAAAAAATTTTACAATATATGTTTACCTTTACTTGTTAAGAGCAGTGGGCCCAGCTTTGAAGTATCTACAGACGAAGAACCCTGGCTTACTGTAAGGCTGGAACATGGTATGAAGTACCATGGCTATTATTTCCAAACCAAATTTTGGAACCATGTTTGGCAAACTGGAGATTCCTATCAGCAGGGTTGCACACAAGAAAGAAATGGACAATGAAGAAACCCAAAATGAGTAGCCTGAAGTCTCAGATAAAGTATACCACACAGAATTATACTGTGCAATTCAGGATCAGATTATCGTGAGTTGAACTTGAAATAAGAAACAAGTTGGTTCTGTATACTTTCTAGACCTTAGAAACTTCCCAGAAATTATAGTAACTGGAATGCTAGACAGCACTCTTAATGAATCTGCTAATCTTTCAAAAGTGAAAAAAATTAAATTAAGGGACAGACTAGTCATTTGGCAAAATATTTTAAAGCATTTCAGGAACCTTACATAGGAAAGTCCAAACCATCACAGGGAACACCAAAGCAACTGAAACACCTATACAACAAGATGATACTGGTAAAATGGCAAGGAAGGAGTTGAAGGTGGAATAGCTTATTCTAGCAGAGAGTGAAACTGAGGGCAGATAGGAGTCTATGTTTTGTAACCTGCCAGCAAAGTGTAATCAGAAGAAGCAACATTGAGTATTCCTCATATGCTCTTTTTGACCACTATGTAAATACAATATGCACTCAATTGCTTACACCACCTTGTATTAAACCTATGAATATCTTCTAACCTTGTCTTTTAGTCAAGTAAATTGTGAAAAAAAAAACATTCAGCATAATTGAAAATAGACTTTGTGTTAAAATGGAACAAGGTTTTTGGTAACATTAATGTTGATATCTGTAAACTGGGGTGGGTTAATTTTGAGGAAGTTCTGAACTTTGCTAGAGCTAGCTCCCTGCTCATGAAATCACACTTCAGTGTTTGATGTGTTACATTTTTAATGTTGTCTGAAATGGACTAAGTTAATGTTATAGCACAGATTATAAACAACAAAAGGCTGTCTTTTATTTAATGATTTTTAAATAAAACTGTAACAATTTATTGAACATAAAAGTGGGTCAGAGTTTTTAGAGACAGTGGGCTGGTAAGATGGTTTTCCCTCTTGGCCTCTGTTGTCAGTCAAACTTTAACCTCGTTCCTCAGTTTCATATTTTATAAAAAGTCAAGCCATTATATCTTTGTGTAATAATTCATATCTTCTGAAGATAACTTAATAGATTATATATTCTGTAGTAACAGTAAATGAGGGATTCTTGAGCTGCTTATATATGACCTAACTTCACAAATCTCAAAGTGGATATTCTTAATGAAGTACAGTAAGTCAGAAACTATAGATATGGGAGACATTAATCAATATATCTGGGAGAAGATCCAAACTAAAGATAATTTGTAATAACTATACTACAATAACATTTAGTTAAAATACATAAAAACAAAAGCACCCCTTTTTACCAATAACATATTTCTATTATTAAAATCTGAATAAACAGAGTAACATTAACTAAATTCTTTTACTATATCTTTGTTTGCTTGTTTCATATTTACATTAAAAATTCTTTCAGATACAATAATAATACCCTATATGCATATATATATTTATATTTGATCGAAAGACTTATGTATCTTATACAGTTAAGAAAACCCTAGATAACAACAAGTGAGATGTAGTTTGTTTGTTTTTTTAGTTTTAATGTGATGCTTTCACATTTTATAAAATTCTTAAATGTAATGCAAGTTATTTGCTAGAAATAAGGAAAAATTAAATGATTTGCTCTTAGTAAAATGTATCCCAAAGACTACTATAAATATCATATAATCTTTTACAAGAATGAAGAAATATGTGCACAAAACTAAGTAAACTATAGTTGTTTCAGGACTAACCAAAACACGTATTCATACAGTATTTACAAATGAATCATAAACAATTTCTAACATATGAAAAATAAATAAAGAAACTAAACTAATACAATTGAAACTGTATCTAAATCTTAAAATTCAAAACCTCAAAGTATACAATTTTAATTTTATGCACATATAAATAGATATCTATTAGACATTTATTTTAATCATTACCTACACAAAAAATACATACAAAAAATGATGGTAATAGTTTGTAAAACGTAAGTCTGGTATAGTTTCTTTTCTTTTTTGTAAAGAGATGTGTTCAAGAGTAGAATGTCAATACGCTAGTTTGGTTGCCACGTATCAGTAGAAAAGGAGGCATGTTTCGTGTCAATGTTTCCAACCAAGCCATGTACATTGGAGCAGAGCAAGTTCCTTTCCTAGGCATGGGTAAGGTCCTGACCAAAGAAATACATTGATACATTTACAATCACATACTATACCTGTTTTAAATAAACCACAACAATACAATAAATAGTCTCTATAAACTATGAATATGGTAAGGTTTAAAAATAGATTAAAAATATACATTAAAGTGTTTAAAAACATGGAATATAACTATATGTTTAAAATAATATATAAAAAAAAATTACTCTGGTAGTTTGTGTAATATTACATCTCAATGATATTGATAATAATTTTATCAAATATATCTCTTTACTGGTCCTGTATGAGTTTTGATTCATGCTGCTGCAAACGAAACCTTTAGGTCAATACTAGATTGACTTGATTTACCACCACACACACACACACACACACACACACCAGTAAATAAAGATGTGATAAAAATTATTATCAGTCTTATTGTGATGTAATATTACACAAATAATCAATCAAGAGACCACGTTACACCAGCTTAAGGATTATATACCACAAAATTGGAACTAAGGATAAATATATAGCTTAAAACAAAAGACAGTGCAAAGAAACAGCAGAGAAAAGACATAACAACCATGACTGGTCCAGTAATTATAAATGGACTACTATCTATCTATTTGTTGAAGGAGGTTTGAGACTTTATCAAGAAACACAAATCGAAGGCCAGAGGTTTTGCTGAAAAAACTAGATGGAATTCTTGTACAACCAAAACTAGATGGAATTCTTGTACAACCAAAACTAGATGGAATTCTTGTACAACCAAGGTTTCCATAAGATAGTGATTATCTAAGTTTTTCCTGGAACTCTACTCCCTGAGTAGAGTGCTATTCCCCCACCAGTGGATCCAGCCATTTCAATGTTTTCCTCAGTAACTTGTATTTATCTATAACTACTTAGGAAATCAAAAAAGCCCTAGAGAAAGATAATCCCTTGTCAATCCAAGAAACCATATCAGAAGAAGAATCCTGAGATAAACAGTCTGACAAAAACAACGTGGAAGCACCTTGCATAAGTTTGTAAAATCAACAAGTGCAGGCCACCCA